TTGTAAATAGTAAAACACAAAATGACAATTTTTTAAAGGGAAACAGGAATTTAAGTGCCGGAACTGAAATTGCAATGATCAGTAGAGAGCATTAATTACTTATATTGATAACATCTAAAATGCCGTCTACTAGTAGAGATATTTCAAAAGCTACTCAGTAAATATGCTGAATAATATTAATTAGCCGAAATCCTCGTTGCTTTCCTTCAAAAAGTTACTATGGTAACCTTCCCATGGACTCAGAGTACTGTTCTAAGTGCATGAAGTTATTAGTGATAAATTAACTGAACAAATACAGATCACGGTATTTCCGAATTTCAAATATCTCCGACTGTTGCACGCAATGTCGCTGGTAGTAAAGTGTTTCCAAGAGCTTATCATTTTGTCATCACGAATTAGTTCCAAAAAGTACCCTAAGAATTACAATCAAAAACAGAACGATTTGTCCCCAGTCCGATTCGCTTTCCCTGCACAAAAGGATTTATTATTTTAGATACTTCATTACTTCTCAATAATTCGATTGGGTTTCACACAATGAACAATGCTTATTACTTCGTGGGTCTGTCTCAGATTTATCGTAGCCCTTTCGAAGCTCATTATTATTTGATTAATAAACATTTACAGTTTATCGACGAACCGCTGGAAAGCTCAGAAAATAAAGCCGAATTAAAACGGTCAAGTGTTATGAGGATGCATGTCGAGTAATAACTACTGCTACAAAATATGAAAACGTCTGTCCGCATTCAACCATCTGTAGTGTTAAAACAGACGACGAAATACGAACGGACTCGTTATGTTCTTCATAAACCTTTCTTTCTTTCTGTCTGTCTGGATTCAACATAGAACTTTGCACCGAAGTGCAGCAGTTCGAGTTGCCACGTTCCAAAGAGCACACAAACGTAGACAAGAAAATGAGTGAAGAGAATCAATAGAGTTTTGACAAGTATAAGAGTGAAACAGAATGAGTAATGGTAGAAAGGAATATGAAAGATTACAGAGACTGAATACATCTGCGCCATTGACAACGATTTTGAGCTATGTCACCTATTGTCTCCAGCCATTGATTCTTAGAGTCCCGAGGGCCCCAACCTGACTCAGTTTAACTGTCAAGGATTTCATGGATTGATGCCATGTTTTTGTTTGGCCATCACTATTCAATCTGGTTAACAATAGTCTATTAATTCCTGTAGAACATTAGTTCTCAGCATAATAGGGCAGCACAAATATCAGGTTAAGATGGTTAGAGCTCATATTTAGATCATTCTATGTTGATTAGTGAAATATTTTTAGAATGAGCATTAGTTTTCAACCACTTACATTGCACATTACCAAATTTCATTAAATAACCTCCACTGATAGAAAAGTCACATTAGAATAAATGCCACAGACATATATGTCTTGTATTCATCTATTTGTTTAATCGCTAGCTGACAGACACGAATAACAATGAACTGACATTTTTCTAATGATATATTTTATTCGTTTATTTGCTTTTTAAACATTAACCGTTCAGTAACATCACTAACACTGAGTGATACCACAGTTCCACATCCATAGAGCGTTGTTTAACAACGAAAATCGAAAGAGACAAATTTTATAAAACGTATAAACCTTTGGTTCTATGGTAGTAGGTTTCCCATTGGATATATTACACAGAAACAGTATTATTTACTGGATGACATTTTGAACACAATTTATTCCTCCCAATCATAGCAGCTATAACCGCACAACTTCGAAACTTGGTTTTTATAGCCCTCGTTCTTAATTCCCATTTGTCAGTTTCTGGGTGTTGAATGTAAATTGTGATCTATCTCCAGTTGCTTTGAAGGCTATCAACTTGACCTCGAAGGTCCCTTGTACAAGATAGCGGTCTGAGCCAACATCTGCTACTCTTCTCGATTTTGTGTGCAACAGGCTTCGCCTCCACTTCCCTAACATTGAAATGAAGTCCATCTGATTTGTAGTGTCTCCATGTGGTGAAACGCACGTCACATTGTGTATATCCTTGTGCCTGTACACACTACCTCTATCACCAAATCATGAGAGGCGCAGAATTCTGTGTAGAGTTCTCCATCCCGGTTCATTTCGCCGAGTGGCTCCCGACCACTGATGAGTTCTCTTCCTGTGTTGCCTGCTCCCTGTTAGGATTGTATTTATACCACCCATGTGGATTTCGATGTCTCGATATGCGGTATTGTCCACTACTCATGTATACAGAGGAAGCAAAAAAGTGTGAATGACTTGATATGACTATGAACAATAATTTGTGCTCCAAACTTTATCAGTAAATATTACTGTACAACACTGTGATTTATCAAAATAAAAGCTTATCCATAATGGAGTTATACTCTACCACAGTGCCCAAGTTTTATACTTGTCCACTACTGTTTGTAGTTTTCTGTAGAAGTTTTCCTTCTTTCTTTGTTCCACGTTGTTTGTAGTTACTCAGCATTGTAATGTTATAAGTAAATCACCTATAGATTTTTTATCTTATTAGGATCAACAAATGTAATTTGTGCTAAAGGAGACTCACCTATAGCACTACAAAGCTACGTAACTACAAACAATGCGGAGCAAGGGAAGAAGGAAAAGACGACTCTATGACACACTGGAAACTGAAACAGAAAAAGTCATGGGTAAAACAGACTCCAGAACATTATATCATATAACCGGGCCGGGGAAGGGATCAATACACATGAAACGAATGAAAGATAGTCAAGGGATGCTAATTAGCGAAGAGGAGAAAGAAGGGAAACTCTGGGCTTACTCTTGAGCGGAACACTACCTGTAACTCGTCCAGAAATACTACCAACAGCCACAGAACTACCATAAGGTTACTGAAAGCTAGTCGGGAAAGCAAAAGGACCAGGCAGAATTCCACCGGAAGTATCGAAAAAGGGCTCAGAGACATCAGTGGATATCCACGCAGCATCAATACAGAAAGTTTGGCAGGGAGGAAACGTATGAACTGATTAGTAGATAGGTTATCTTGTCAAACTACGAAAAAAGGATGACACAGGTCTCTGTGAGAACTGGTGAGGAGTCATGCTCCTGTCCGCGCCAGGCAGAACACCAAATCGATCCTCAACGAGAGACTAAAGGATGCTCTGGATGCAGAACCCCACTGGAAACAAGCTGGATTCAGGGAAAGGAAACCATGAGTGGATCAAATTGCAACGCTAAGCATCATAATTGAATACAGCGTAGAATGCCAGTCAACTCTCCACCTGGACTTCATCAACTTTGCAATGGCCTTCGACAGTGTTGACCGCAGAGTAATTTGGAAACAACTTCAACACTATGGAGTGCGGTGCCTCAAACTTTTGGAAACGACATTTATCACCTGCTATAAGATGATGCCCGATGCCAAGTGATTCACAACGGGAAGCCCAGAGAAGCCAGGCTGCCTACCATCACCGATATTTCTCATTGTGGTGGACTGGATCTCGCGGAGACCATGAATGCGATGGACCGACTTTAGAGGACGATTTATGTCTAACATCCTACAAATTCGAAGATCTATGAGCAAAACTCAACTAGTCGGCAGAAGAAGCAGAGAACACAGGACTTCAGGTGAACAGAGAGAAGAGATGGATGATGAAGATGTCTGGTCCAACAACATGAAATTACTATGATAATTAAATAGGTAGCACTATTACACAATCATAAAATAGGATAGGATAGTTAGTCTTAAAATACAACAGGATTAAGAGAAAGATTGGTCAGTGAAGGTTTACGCATTAAATCAACTGAGAATACGTGTAACGGATACAACTAAACACCTGTCCCGAATATCTGGGAAACTCTATTACCCCTACAACATATGGGAAGGAAGGAAGAGGACTATGCGTCGGTGGCACAGTGGTTAGGACTCTCGCCAACCATGCACATAGTCCGGGGTTCGATCCCCTGCCGACGCACACCCGATATCTATGGTCGGCCTGCAAAATTTGGGCTACCGATATCCATGCTGAAAATGCCATACTTGTACTGAAAATACGGTGTGGCATCAAGCTGTAATAAAAAAAAAAGTTCGAAGTTGGGTAGTTACAACTGTTATAATTGGGGGCAAAAAATTGCGTTTTAAACGTTATACAGTAAATACTGTTCCAGTGTGTTATATCCACTACAAAAAAATTGATGTGGAGTGATTCAAACTCGATAAAGCACTGAGTACAAACTGAAAGAAAATTCACTACAAGTAGTGTGAGTCAAATCTATTTTACCGATGGAGATAAATATAATTCACCTTGAAGCCTAATCCATGACAGTTTGTTGCTTGGACTGGCTTTGGTTTAGGTGCATGAAAAGATAAGTTACACAGAAACAAAAATTATCTACTCTGAATCGTGTTTACTTGCATAAATATACGGTGGAAATTCAACATTATCCAAGGGGCATACAAGCGAAGTCAGACTCACACAGACTTAACAATCCTATTCCATGATGAGACCATTTAAAAAGTCATTGTCTGCTTGGTGGCCTTGAGTTTACACACGAATGAAATACACAATATACGTTAGAAAAGCGATAATCCAATATTACATTTGGAGACTAATTATTTTGCTCAATAGTTTCCTGATCATATTTTTAATGGTGCAAATGTAGTGAACATAAGTAATTGTAAGCATACCGTCAACCTGTGGAACTTAAGTCATCAGTTTAAAGCAATTTCGTGGACATATCTGGTAAGGTCTCCATAAATTATACCAGTTAATCTCATGGAGCCCACAGAAAATAGCAAGATGGCATACACTAGTGGTTGATATGATTACCTGTAAAACAATAATTAGTAGTAATCACTCTACATAAAGTGCTAACTGATATTTTAACACTACCGTGAGTTTCATCTGATGTTATTTGATTGAAGGCATTTATTAGAGGGATTCCAAATTAGCATTTCTTTCTTAATGATTACTCATTAACCCAATATACCTGCATCTAAATAGGTGAAGTTAACAATAAAAACTAAACCTACTACCCATGACTTTAAATATTATGCGATAGATTTCTGTGGCATAATATTCAACTAACAACTTTACAAATATAACATCAGAATAAAATATAAGATACATGCTCGATGGACCCATATAGCGACAACATTTGTCGATTCGATAGGGTGAATTGTACGGATAGGTGCGTCATCATCACTGAAGTTGTTAAGTCGGAAACTTAAGTTTTGTGAGCAATTAAATATTCAGATACATAATGAAGCACTAAATAGTTAATAACCAGTCCGATTATTTAATACAATCCCTAAGTTTTAACACAGTTTTTCTAACTACACAAGATATTCCTAGTTGGAGAAACTACACATCGCGTTTTATCCTTCTTGCAGATCCTTTTAATCGTTATTTAGCACTACGAATGTCAGTCATTCTGAGCAATAACATTCTAAATAAATCCAGGAAATCCAGCTACACCTTTAGAATTAAGTAAAAACGCAATCGGCGATAATGTCATTTACTAAACATGTAGACTTATTGGATCACGAATTAAAGCAGCTTGTAAACAACGAGGAAAAAACTTGAAGATCTTGGACACCGTATGTTCCAAGTAGTTTTGGATTACCTGTCGAATATCTAAAAGTTGAGTATTTATAACAAACACAAAAACCTTAATATGAAGTACACTGTCATATGGTTTGTATTTTGAATACATGGCGTCTCTTTTATATTAGTAAAAATGTATGAAAATCGATTGGAAACTGATTTGGATTCATAAGTATGCTATCTAAAAACAGTATTAAAACTTCTCGGATTTTGTGCGCGTATTAGGGTCTTCACAGAGTTGACATAAACAAACGGGAAATAATACAAAACCAGAGAAACCATAATTAATTCAAAAATGAATTTAACCTGCGCATTTCATTTTCATAAGCCTCGAGACCAACTTTATCAAGATCAGACGGTGGTTTGGGATATTGCATTCGGAAAGCATCACTACTAACTCCAAAAGCGTTGATTTTCCGGACTGTGTCGAATTCCCGGCGAGATTCAACCTTCCCAAGAATAGAATATGCCTCACTTATTTCAGCAAAACGCATCTTTGATCCTTCATCATTACACCTATCAGGATGGTACTAATAGGTATGTAACTAAATAGACTTCACTAAAACCTTTTTGGACAGATCGAGGTAAGCTTCTTTGATTTCCTCTTGAGATGCTGTACTTTTGACATTCAAAATAGCATAGTAATCTTTGAATTCTGAGGATGTGCTTAAGTATCTTGACATCTGGCACAATAAGTTATTAATTCTGCATTTTCTTGAACCAGAAACTAGGAAACAGCCAACCATAGCCCCACAACCGAATTACCTGCCAAAGCATATGAAAAACAATTAAAGATCGATCATACCAGTTTTTTGAAAATGTCCAGTTAAGAAAGGAAACTGCAGTATTCGAGAGTTGTCAAGAATTATCTTTTACACCGACTAGTACACCTCGCGTACACTCGGAAAGTGTTAGTTTGAATTCCTCGGTAACCCGGATGGTTAATTCGACCAACAGAATGATCTTCATATGTAAGGTAATGATATAATAACGCTCAAGTTATGTTCCTCAAGTGTATGTAACAGTCTGACAGATCTAATTAATGAGGCCTGTTGCTAATTTGACACAAGTTTAAGATTATGAAAGTCCCAATGTATATATGCTCAGTGGTGTGTACCTTCACTAACTAACTTATCTTTCACTCACGTGATGGTCTCTGCATGCACGACATGCTAAGGAGACAGCAGTGAGCACATAACTACACCATTAGTAAGTACTTCACTATAAATGAACTTATGATAATAATCTGCTTTATTCCAAAAACAGTACTCATAATACATAAAATATAAAATTATAATAATAATGGTGATAACTAAAATAAAAATAGCAAAGTTATAATTAAACGATAGAAAGGGTGACACCATAAAATTACAGAGAGTGACAATGAAAGGGTCGATTCACTTTGCTAATTACATAGTAACTATATGTTTCACGTCTAACAGTCTTCATCACATAGAATACGGGCTATATACGGTATTGTAGAATTTTTGTACTCAGTAGTTCGAGCATATAACTTTTTATATTAACTTCTCGTCCTACCTGATATACAAGGGGATAGTTGTGAATAAAGGGGGTGCAAAGGGTCTGACAATACGTCCTTTGCCCATTTTGTACAAGAATTTGTCTCTCGACTATAGTATTGGTTGTTAGTTGTATCACCAATGGCATACTAGTAAAGTGAAAATTCTAAGGCCGTATATCTACACTAGAACACTGAATTTCAACACAAGTCGCTGTTGTCGTACCCAATAATAGGAGACAAAGAGAAATTTCGAAAATCTTTCATAGACACAACGCACTCCTAACATTCACAATAAAACCACCTGGGGAATTTTTCGTGAAAATAAGCGAAATGGATAAAAAATGTAAGTGACATTCTGCATAAAATAGGGTCATTTCGGGTATTTTTGAAAATGACATCGGTTACATGAGCTACCGAAAAAAGTGGATAATTTCTTCGTGAAAAATGTAGGTAAGAGGACAAATGAGGGTAAAAGCATACACAGAATGGAAAAGCTGGGCAGTGAAGTTCTGGAGAAAATGTGAGTGTTTTATGTTGCATTATACTCGCGTTACACCTGATTAAAATTGCCCATTGACCCGAAGTACATTCTCCGACTGGGATATCAAAGGAACATGTCCATAAAAAGTGGAGCAACAAAAAGATAAAAATGAGAGGGATTTCTACAGACACACTTATACCATGAATACCACAACAACTACCATGAAGCAGAACTTACTTGATCCTGAATTATGTGACGTACCCTTTAAATATTGCTCTCTTTTTCAAGACAAATTTAGATGGAATAAACAACTTTAACTTTTTAACCACCGAACTAATTTTTTCCACTTCAGAATGTGATTGTCGCCATTAAAATGACGAATATATGTTGCTGGTGACATTACGTTTACCAAACTGAATGGATGTTTTAAGATATGAAAATGTACTCACTAAATTTCAACACACTGGTGATTCACACAGACTGAAGTCACTCACGTATAATTCATTCATGATAAATCATTATTAGCCCGCTGCTACTGCTTCAAATTTTTTAGAGCGAATCTCTTGGCTTCACACAGAACGAGTGGCAACAAACACTGTTTAGCTTCCATTCGGCCATTAGTAGATCCAGTCAAACTTAAACAGCTACATTAGATCTCGGCCTTGTGATCATACTCCATGTGTGCACAGCATGAAGTGATTGGATGCCTTTCTCACTGCTTACATTGGAAAGAAAGTAACACTATCTCTAACAACGTCGCGAATGTCAGTGAAATGAGATAAGTGTCACTGCTGAACTTTAACGGCTCCCCATATTGATATATATAATCATATCAACTTGATATGATTATGAGCAATAGTTTGTGCTCGAAACGTCATCAGTTAATATAACTGTACAACACTGTGTGACTTATCAAAATGAAATCTTATTCATAATGGGGCTCCCCATATCATCCATCCAGCAACATAAAGTGTGTCTGGTAATTAATATGGTCATTATCACGCGATCTCTTGGGTAACAAACCATCAACCAGATTCATATTGAAAGGGTAGGCACACAGGACGAGATATAAGACAACATTTCGACATCACTCATTTCGACAGTGATATTGCAGAGAACAAAACACTCAATTCGGCGAAGAAACTTTTTTCGGCAAAACCGTTTTTCGGCCGTATTACAGTGCATGAGAGGAACTGAATAAGTCTATTAGAGTCTAACGAGAAGATGAATGATTTAACGAATGAGTTATAATCAGGATGCACATTGAAACGAAGGGATGAATGGAATATTGAAGAGTTCTAAAGGGAAACAAGAAAGACAAACAAACGAAAATCAAGTCGGTATTGTAGCGGTTGCAAATTCCCTAAAATCATGAACCTGTAGCATTCATCACTCAACAGTGGATGCTGGCCTTCACTTCTTGAGTCAACTCGATTGGCTGAATTTCGGTGACCAAGCTCCCAAACCATTTGGCACGCCGTCTTTCCACACTCTCTCATTTGCTCATGTACGGTCTCCTCGCAATACGATTTTGATCTCGAAATATTCATTGATAAGTTTAGTGGCCACATTGCAAACTTGGCTGATAGAATTCACTCTGCACCAAAGAAAGAACTAAACATATCACACTGGTTACTAGTGTCTAATGAAGGATAAGCTTGGCTTTTGTATTTGCGTTTGGACTACTTAGAACAAATACTGTAGGAGTTGTTAGTATCGGAACCTGCGTTAGCATACAACGTATTTCACCCAAGCGTTAACACTTCCTCACCCCTAGACTGAGAATCATCAAGGCTGTCACCATGTCAGTAGAGGTGGCTGAGTGATTTTTTAAATTTCATAGCTCCAGTTTCTTTAATTGAATGGATGAAACTTCAGTAGTGCTAAGGAGGCGAAGGCGTATTGCTTTTGGCAATAGGAGCGCAAAATTAGGGCAGAGAAACAACGAGCGTTGTTGAAGAATAGCGTGGATCCATTTTATTTGGTTGACTCTCATCCGCTGCGTATCACCTATCATCTTCAGTAAAATGAGTCAGTGTACAATTCTGATGTACTTTTGTCCATCAACAGGTATATTGCAGGAGCATTGTAGTGAAATAAAATATCACTATGTTAAGGCAGCTGAAGTTTTAGTGTTAATATCCATATATATCCTGTTGAAAAGAAGCTTCTCGAAAAGTGAATAACAAACTTCTTCGGGTAATGGCGAAAATGAGGAGTGGTTACGTATTAAGGCCAGAGAAGATCAAAATTTGGTGTGCACGGGATCAAATGAACAGATGATGATGATGTGTAATACAATGAGCAGAACTCAGAAGGTCAATAGCGATTATCTCTTGTTGATGTCAAACGGAAAGATGGGGGTTGACAATATAGGTTAATGAAATCGGAAAACGAGTAGTCACTTAATGATGAGTCTCCAGGGTGACCGAAGCCCGGCGAAAGATTTGTTTGGGATGTGTAGCTTAGGCTTCAGCTGTTTTACTGCGATAGCCTCAGAAAACTGAAGATTTGTACTACTTTGTGTGTTAATTATCTTGAATGACTAAATCGCGTCTACTTGGTGTCCTGTGTCCGCCAGGTGTTTGATGAATGAAGAGCCTGAACTTTCGGGATTCTTTAAGTGGCGGCTCCTTGAAACATGTTCGAAAAATCTGGCTTAGGTTCTTCTTTCTGTTCTTCCAGTGTAATTGCTCCCACAGATACACTTAAATTGGTATACGCAGTTGGAGGTAATATATAAAGGGTACTTGTCGAACAACAATAGTGTATTAAACTTTCCGTTAACTTATGCTATTCAGGATTATGAGTGATATGCATCTGATGAGGACAAAACACGTAAAATGAATCCATATTATTCCCCACCACTGCTCGTCCTTTCCCTGCCCTAATCTTGATATTTGATATTATTGTCAATGAATTCTGTTGGGTGTCCATTTGGAGTAAAGATTTCTTCTAGATCTAGTTATCTGTCTGTGGCTTTAGGTTTACAGATGCATCGGATACTAGTGACAAGGGATTTAATGAAATCTCGTTTTCGCTCAGTAGGCACCAACTTGTAGATGGTAGTTAATTGACCGTTCCAAATAGGTTACCAATGGACTGGCCTTCTTGGGGTTTCGTCGTGTCTTCTTTTCAGTCTGACATCAGGTGAATTTTAGTGCTTTGTATATAAGATGTCACCGGAGAAATCAGGCGTAATTAATTTTGCAGGCTCCATATTTATGTGCATAAACGAACGTCTATATTAAACTCTTGGATTATGGACACTCAGTCCAAATGGATACATGAAGTTTGACGGTCGCTTAGGCTTCATAGGTGTGGAGGTCACAGGTCGCTCATTTATCGAATGTAAGAACTTGGAAGAAAATCGCTAAGGCTGTTTCAGTCATGCCACTTTCGCCTAAACAAAAATGACCATGGCTTCAGGTAGCCATCTACCCTGCAAGATCTAAGCTCCAACCACACTACCTACTGGTTCTTCTGCCCGTTCCAACATAACTTGTAACCAGTCTGCTCTTAAAACGGCCCCAAATAGCAAAAAGAGAACATAACCCCTGCAGCTGTTCCAGGAAGTATGGATTAACGGTGATAGGAAGAGATGACGAAGAAAAACAATCACACCGCAACGAGCAGTCGAAAACTCAATTACCCGCACTCTGATATAGTCAGGACGGATAAACGAATTGACCGCTGAAGGCTAAGTGGATGAGATTCAATTAAATGGGCAAACTTGTTCCGATCCCCCACATTTCTCCAAAATCAGAATCAAGTAAAGTTAGTTCGATTCAATTTAGGTAGTCGCTGTACGCAAGAGGACCTTGTGGAACTTGCAGCATGCTTGTGTATTGGGAATCTGAAGTAGTAAGCAGGAGGACAGCAGGAACTGGCCTACAGAAAGTGTTAGTTCCTATTAAAACTGTGACAGTACTAATGATGGGATGAAACCTACACTCAGCCCAGAGCTCGATGGACGTAGTGAGAAGTCAGTCTGGTAAAATTCCTTGATATTCAAGTGTGAGAAAGGTCTGTCGGGTGAAATGTGACTGACTTCACATGAATGGTCACCGACGAAAATGTATTACTCTCTAGAAAGCATGCGAACATGGGTTTTTCCGGTAGCTATTTAATTCCTAAGTAATATTCAAGGGGAGACATTAAATTTTAGCATCTGATTCAGGCGATGTTGGGTAGAAGCATTTATTGTGTGATAAAAGAAACACGGACATAACCAGGAAGGATGAACTCCAAACTCAGTGACTCGTGATACCACTTTGTAAACTTAATAAAAATCATGACTTGGCGGTGCTGAGTACTAAATGTTGGTAGAATGAGGGACAGAAAATTCATTAAAGCCAGTTATTTGGGTAGTTGTAAAATGGCTTGCATTCGTATGCCTGTAAAACACAGCGAGAATTACGTGATAACAAAGTGGCCTGGATAGCTTCTGAGTCAGCCTTCGATGTTGCTTTTCAGAATGAAGCAGAGATATGATGCGAGAGGCAGAAAAGAGCCTTTCACCCA